ATATTAAACTAACGCCAGCGGAGACAAAAATCAACTACAGACGATTCATGGTACGCACAGACTGCGCACTGTTGCTCTTACCGAGATAGTTTGAGTATGAGAGAGACAGAAGACCGCGAGAGGGGTGGGAGAGCGCTTGATCAGCCAAACGCCGACATTCATAGACGCCCTGTCCTTGCGTGCAACGAATCGCCTATACGTGACGTTGCAAGATTCTTTGCACAATATGCTAGAATAGCTTGCAGGCTGTAAGAAATATGGTGAGATCAGAAAAGCAATTATCTGACTAAATCGTCTTCGAAGTTTTGATCTCAAAAATTTTTTACCACAACCCCACATGAATGTTGAATCATACTTGTCTCGAATAAGCAGGTAGAGATTTTTGCACTGGCTAATGAAATCCTACAGGATTTAAGCGCAGTTCTTCCTCGATAACCCGGAAGCAATGATAAATTATTGTGACAATCAGTTGTGAAACGGCATAGACTCCTCCGATAATGGCACAGAGTGATACCAAGAAAGTGACGAGTTGCCTGAAGTTGCAGATATCGTTATTAATTGTAAAGTGACAAAAGTGAGCTTACTGTCGCTTTTCTTCACGCTGGATCATCAGTGGACTAAAGTCATATTGAACAACGAACCCTGGAACGCCAATTGCTCCCTCTGTAATTCGAAGATATAGTTGTGTTTCCAATACGAAAATTACATTTTATCGGAAGACAAAATTAAAAAGCCATTTACCAATCGCTATGTCTCTTTTGTACGATGTGACTGAGAATTGATGGCTGTTTTCTATTCGGCCGTCCATATAGGCATATCTAGTTGGAACGACGTTTAAGTAGTAATTGTGCATGATAGCGGCTGAACATATTCAACTTTTTCAACGATCGTTTACCTACTTTCTAGAATATTGTTTCGACAAACGTCAATTTCACCATGGTGAAGGAATGCTTAAAATCGTACTTACGTTTACCATCATCGACATTTTTTCCGTCCAATGGATATTGTTTTCCCGGAAAATCATCGCCAAAAGCTATACGGTTAATTCGATGTGCCGTGTCAAAACGTGTCACAGGGAGACCGTGGAAATCGTGAACTGCAAGAAATCGAGTCATTGGACCATACTTTTTGTCACTTCCATTATTTTAAATGAAAGCTTAGATGAATAAGTGTTCGAGTTTTGAGCAAGAAAAACTGCCCTATTTAGTACTGCAACAATATCTGGGCGCTTCTTGTCCGCGCATCTCAAAGACACTGGCCCGTAGTAAACCCCCCATCAGATCAGATGATTTCAAATGAGGGCCTCGGATAAGTTTTTTGAGATAAACTGACAAGCGGCCGCTCCCACATGCTATAAAAATGCGACCTAATCTGGCGGGGAAGCGTCAGGGCATGTGCCGCGAT